GGTCAATATAAACCAACTGAACCAAAGTCCGGGAACTCTAAGTCAGCATGGTTACAAATAGTTAATTTCAATCAGGTTACAACTTATCCGATATGAGCAAGAACATTTGTAATTGCATGTTACAAAATTATAAATTCCGGGGATACAATTTATATATAGCAAGTACTGAAGATTGAACAACTATTCACTCGTCGTCTCGACTGCGAAATCCCACAAAATTGCCGACTTAATCACTACCCACACGACATTTCAATCATTACTGACATCCCACAATAATCAAGAAGGGGCTACTGTTCTATGCAGAAACTTGGGCGAAAACTCGTGGTAAATATCTATTGTGTTTGATAAATTTCGCCACGAGTAGCAGAATGCTTTCTGGGTTCGGTGAACTGAAAGCTATCTGCTTACGCGTACTCGTAAATGCGCATGCGACGCGAATGTTTACTTCACAACAAAATGGCTGCGCCCGCAGAATGGGGTGAGACCGATTCGTCATCCGAAGATGACGAGATATTGCTGTTGCTTTTGCGCCGTCGTCGTCGGCGATTGAGAGCGGCATGTCACAGGAGATGGACAAGGTCGTGGGTTATGAGAATGCAGGGCCAAGGAGCCTACTGCAATCTCATACCGGAGTTGAATGTCGAAGATCCTGAAATATGTCATCAGTACCACCGACTTGATAAAGTCCTTTGAAGACGTATTAGCAATGGTCAGCCCATTTATCACTAAACAGAACACCACAATGAGATGCTCTACTACTGCAAATGAGAGGCTGGCTGTTACTTTACGTTTTCTTGTAACAGGTAAAAGGAGAACATCAAATCTCATCAGGCCAATGAAAATTGTTTCCCAATGGGTAAGTTTGGTAGTGATTTTTATTTATTTTTTCCCAACCTATTCAGTCTACATATCACATCTGTGCATTTTAAATGTTAATATTTGACATGATGAAATTAACTATCAACTTCTGTTCATTTTCAATTACAATAAGCAGATATTATGAAGAGATATTTGAACAATAAATAGTTGTGGCTTCTATAATGCAACAAAACTTAACGCATTTGCATAACATTTGTTAAGCCAATTCGCACAAAATAAACTTGCTGTTTTTTACCAAAAATTTGGGTAAGGTACAAACTTTTTCATTTCAACAAAACGGGGGTCAAACTCTCAATTTTAATAGGTTAACAAGATTAAATTAGTCCAGACAGAAAACATTGTAGATTACCTGTTATAATAATGAGGGGTGTTATTTGTAGGACCAGAATCACCGGTAGCAGCTTGTTCCTAGTTATGTGTCAGCCAGCTGTTTTCTTGGTACACCAGGTTATGTGCTGAACTAGGCACTTGATGCTGGTTTTGTGTCATCCACCTGTTATGTGGAGGGAAATGTTGGGAAACTTAATATTGTTGCGCTTGATCATAATCATAATGTGATGTACACATTTAAGTATAAACATTTTTTAAATTTATTTATGTAGATGTTGGGGCAGCAGAACGTGCAGGAGATGATATCACCAGAGGATATTGAAGGGATTTCAGAGTCCAACATTAACTACCATATGATGCCTTTCCTATGAGCGCAATTCAGATGAAACCCCCCATCCTTCACAGACATCTGAGCAAGGGGAAGAAGATTTTCAATTGTTGGCTATCCCGCACAAGACGGGTTGTGGAGAATGCATTTGGCATACTTGCCAATAGATTCTGTGTTTTCTTACCAACAATCGATCTAAGTTCTTAAAAGGTTACTCATATGGTATTAGCAACATGCCGTCTTCACAATTATATGGTGGAGAAAACAAACACATACATACATAAGTGTTTGTGATTTTGAAGATGTTAATGAACACACATATTCAACTGGAACATGAAGGGATGACCAACCCCTAGCTGGTTTGGTTCCAAGCTTAGATAGAAATCCATCGGGTAATGCAAAGAAACAGTGTCAACTTATAACCACTTATTTTGAATCGGACGTCTGTTCTGTTCCATGGCAAGAATATATGGTTAATCCTTGAATTTACCACATATTTCATTTGTAATACACTGAATAAATGAAAGCACACCATATTTGTTATATTGGAAGAACATCGACAACAGCAAAAGAGCCCATACACAATAATCATAAAAATATTACTTTTTGGCCATAGACAAACCTTCGTTTCATCATAGAGAGAATATGGTAACGATAATTGTGAAAATAGACTAGGTAAATATCAAAAATAAACAAAACTTACACAAATTATATAAATAATTATTAAATATTGCAAATGTAAAAATGTATCTTTTTTATTCATCATTAGTTATTTTTGGGAAATGATGTTTAGTATCAAAGTGAATAGATGTGACTATGAATTTGATGGTAGTGATTGTATGCATCATATATAATAAAGAGTGTAACAGCCTGTTCATTGGTATTGGTTATAGTATGGGAGGAATAAAATAATTTGAAAGCGTAATATATGTCATTTTTTAGCCAGTAATTTGAAAGTGTCTATGTAAATTATGCAAAGAATGATTTCGGGCATTATAGTTGTGGGTATTTTTCAGAACAAAATGCACGTGTTCATGTTGCCCTGACTAATACCCAAAATTATCAGTGAATAGGTCATTTGAGTCTATCCTCAAAAGAACTGTTGAAAAAATTGTCATAGAACAAAAGGAAAACAAAAATATTAAAACATTACCTGTCAAAATAGTTGCCTGACAAGTAGTTGGCTAATACACTGCCGGTGTACCAAGAAATGATTTCATTGGGACGTGTCGCCCATCGGGTGGAGTTGTTTTTGAGACACTTGGTCTTACATGGTGTTTATATTTTGCAAGAATTGGTATATTATGGGATGATCAGCAATTTCATTTTGGTCTATAATTAATAGGGCCCTATTTTTCTACGTATTATGGTTTTGTTTTATATAGTTTCGCTGTTCAAATTGTTCATTATGGTCTGTCTGTATACTAACATTAACTCCTGAAAAGATGTCTTGAATAGGTTTATACTAAATCACAAATTGGTCTATGATGAGGTATACTTTTCCCATCAAAATGGTCTACGATAAATCTGCGTTTTATTAGTTCTGGCAACACCCCAGTACCAAATCAGTAGCCACCCCCCCC